TGGTGTTTCCCATCCTTCAAATGTTCAGTTTCCTAAATACATAATCAAAACACAATTTTCCCAATCTGCAAGGAAGTATGCTAAGAGTCTATAACTTTCAGAATCAGAAATTTCCTAAATCACATTAAAATATAAAGAGCATTTAACCCAGAGTATTAAGAGTTTAATTAGTCAGACTAAAAATACAAGTATCACAACACACACCTGATTCTGTTCTCTAAAGTGTCTATATGAAGTTGCTTCTCATTGAGTTGTTTCTTCAGTGATTCTACCTCTTTTTGTTTTTCAAGTAGTTCTTTTTGTAAACGGTAGTTAGTCTCTTCTAAAGTTTCACAGAAAGCCTTAAGGAAACAAAATCAAACACGTGCAGAAAAAGAATAAAATTAATTACCTATGTAGTATCTTTTTTAAGAGCCTTACTGAAGAGTCAAAGAACTTAGATAATCAAAATAATATGTTTACAACCCCAAATGATTTGTTCTCTAGCCTTATCTTTTTAGGCCATGCTATCTTGGCTTTCTTAGTTCCCATCCACCAGGGGGACTTACAACTACATGCAAGTCCTTTTTCTTAAGAATCATTACAGTAATAACGTAGTGTGCCTGAAGTGAGTATGTGATATCCCTGTAGTGTAGAATTGGGACAAAAATAACTCATATTTACTGCTTTAGTTTCTATTCTCCTCAATCTATTTTTGCCTAGTCCTACATGATTACACTTAAAAAAACACTGTGGCTATTGATTTCATTTGTATTAGCAGAGGAGACATACTACTGTAATAGCAACTTCCTTGGCAGCATTTTTGACATCGCTTGGCCCTTGTCTTTCCTTTCACCATATTCACTCAAAACTGACTGTTTTGTACTGTGTACTTTATACCCAAGATGCTAAACATAGCAGAAATAAAGACTAGAACGAATCAATGAAATCATACTACCACAAAGAATGATGCATGAAACTATTCTGGTCACCTTGATAAAGCTTTCAGTGTTGCTGGTCAATTTTTTTAATTGTTCTTAGTTATTATCTAGTGATAGTTATCTACCACTCCTCGTATCCTCTGTGACTGTTTTAAACCCTTATCTGCCCACTTGCCAAATACTCTACACTATGTTACTATTGCTTCTCCCGAGCCCAGTAGATGATCTTGAATCCTATACCAAGGGAAAAAAAAAATAATTAACTCTCAGAATCCTAACTATATTTGCATTCTATTCTTGTCCTCAAGAACAT